TAAATGACTCAGTTTTTTTTCCTGGTTCCTCAACTCTGTCCCATGCATTCAAGGCTGCTGTTCGACATAAAATTAGGGTTTGGACATCATATAAACATTGTGCTTGTGCTGAAGTATATTGACCTTCTCCAATAAGCTGATCCTGGCAGACTTGTATTCCTTTATCCCTCCACTGTTTTTCTATGTTTTTAGCTTCATCCTTGAACCAAGTTAGCCACTGAAGCCTTTGACTGGGTTCAAGAACAGCTCGTGCCAGCTCCCGCCAATCCTGTGGTACAATCCTATTATATGTTGACCAAGAGTTTAACATTTGCTTTACATACGGGGAATGCATGCCATAAGATACTATTGCCTCCTTAAACCTTCGTAAATCTAACATTTCAATTGGAGTCCAAATATTTTGTGTAGTCATTTGATCAGGCAACTGCTGTACGGTTACTGGACAAACAAAGGGTGACTGTGTGAAAACAGGCTTTCTTTCTGTAACCCTATGATCCAATCTTGAAGCAACTTCACTGTTAGTTTCTTCTGTCTGAGTTTTTACAGGTTTATCAAGTTTTTCTAAAGCTGTCATCCTGGCACTTAAATTGACTATCTTTTTAAATAGTAAAATGAGAATAAGCATAGTAATAAAATGCATAATTCGGTCAACATTAATCTTCTCATATAGCTGTTCCATTGTCAGACTGTCTAAAATTGCAAACAAAGCCCAATTTTCTTCCAATGAACACAGAAAACCCATTTTTTTTAATGTGGAAAAAAATTTCTCTTTTAAATAGTTTCCTTTAAAATATCTGATATGTTAAGTGACTTACCAAGTCCTCGTAGAACAGTACCAATCCAAAGGAATTTCAAAACAGCCTCCTAGTGTCCGAGGTGTGAATCCAGAGAGAGAGAGAGAGAGAGAGAGAGAGAGAGAGAGAGAGAGAGAGAGAGAACACGCAAGAACCGTAGCCTCAAGTTCTGCCTAAGAACTTGAATCCAGCCACGTGTTCCCGCTTGAGCCTAGTCAAGCCTTGGCTCTGGCTACCTTAAGCTCCAACCATGTGCGTTGGCTTTACAGGCAGGGGCCCTGTTCGGCAGGGCAGGCCTGAATTGTGTGTAGCACCGGCTTTAAGCAAGTAGCTCAAAGTTAGTCAGGCCTGAGGCCAAGCCGACCTGGGCCCCGGGCTAGGGAGCCGGCTGCCCTGGTGGGAGACCGGACCTGCCGGCCTCCCTGGCGGGAAACCGGACCTGCCGCCAAGCCAAGTTAAGCAGTTTTTAATGGATTCTTGTCACGTTGGGCGCCAAATGTAGATGTAACCAACGGTCTTATAAAATAAGAAACACAGAGCCAATTCAGAGAAGAAAGCCAAGAGGTCAGAGCTAAGAGCCTCACCCTTCCTGATTCAGGGATCCTCTCCAGCCAAGAGAGCTCTCCGAAAAGGACCTACTTCCTGTGTGTCTGTCTTTAAAGTCTTCCTGTTCTGCCTTCTCATTGGTTGTAAACCCAAACATGTGACTGCCTTGTCAATGCCTGAATGTACCGCCCTCCAGGTCCTTAAAGGCGTGTGCCACCATCGCCACGCACTTGCTATGGCTCCAATAGCTCTGACCCCCAGACAACATTATTTATTAACATACAATTAAAATCACATTTCAGTACAAGTAAAATACCACCACAAGGAAGTTTTTCTGTGTCAGTCATCTGCTTCAGGGTAGTCACGTCCTGTGACTCGGGCTTGAAAATTTTTTCTTTTACATGGTTTAGCGTCTTTGCACCATGTGCATGCAGTGCCGTCAGAGGCCAGAAGATGGCGTTGGATGCCCTGGTACTAAAGTTACATATGGCAGGGAGCCACTATAGGAATGCTGGGACTTGAACACATGTCTTCTGGAAGAGCAGCAAGTGCTCCAAACACAGTCGTCTCTGCAGCCCCTTGAGGCTTATTTTTTTCCACTGAAAATCAGATTCTTAAACATCTGTTCTCAGTGTCAAGGACCAAAGAGAAAGCTGTATGTAACACTAACTGACTTGCACTCAGGAAATGAGAACCCTTAACATAATGTTTATACTTTTAACTGTAGTTCATCTGTCTTCACTGTTGAATAGTACTGTTATATTAAAATACCATAATTTATTTATCCACTTATGTGATAAAAGATATTTATTTAAATTCAGTTTGTATTTACATAATTAATAAGCATTCATGTATAATCTCCTTTTTAAAATATTTCTTTTACTTTTGAGATTATAATTACATTTCTCCCTTCCCTTTCCTCCCTTCAAGCATTCACATATACCCCTTCTTGCTCTCTTTCAAGTTCATATTTGTTGTTACATTAGGAATTACATTTATAACAATGTAATTGTTTTTTATTAATTATTGTTACATATATATGCATATACATATATATTCCTGAATTGCTCAGTTTGTATGACATCACTTGTATGTATGTTTTCAGGAATGACCATTTGATATTGAATAGCCAATTGTGTTCTGGGGAAGACTACTTTGTCAGACCTCAGCATTCTTTAGTCACCTGTAGAGTTTTAGAAGAGCAAAAACAATGGGATGGAATTGAAATCCCTGGATACCAGGCTGTGAGCGTCCTCACAAATCTTGCCAGATGGACTTCAAGTGGTTGTATCTATTAATACTTCCACCAGAGTATATGCACTTTCCCTTTATGCTAGGTTTTCTCTTTAGGCTACATTATTGGTTAGCTTTCACAGGTAAAGCTTTCCTGTCATATACAAAAGATACTATCTTGAAGCTTATTTCCTGGTCCTCTGGCTCTTGCAATCTTCCCACCCATCCTTCTGAAATGTTTCCTGAGTCTTGTGTGTAGGGGTTGTGTTGTAGATGTATATATTGGGGTGGGTACCCCATAGTCAGTTGTTCTCTACATTTTACCAGTTGTGGCCTTCTGTCATCATCCATCTGCTTCAGAAAGAAGCATTTTTGATGAAGGATGAGAGCTACACCTGTCTGTGGGTATAAGGATGAGTATTTAGAATGCAGTTAGAAATTATACAGGTTTAGGAAAGTGGCAGCAGTAGGTTCTCCTCTGGGGTCATAGGCTAGGTTTACAGTGTCTGGCATGCATTCCCTTCTATTAAGCAGGCCTTAAGTCCAGTTAGATGGCTGCTGGTTACCCTCAGTGTCACAATTACACCTTGATTTCTTTTTTTCCCTTGGCAGCTTGCATAGCTCCTTGTAGTACTAGGAGAATTAATACCCAGGGAGGAGGCTTCCAGGTCAGATCTAACTCAGTTTCTCCTCTACCTGAAGTATCTGATGTCTTCAGCAATAGGATCTTACCTTCAATTTGTAGGAGGCAACCAAGGGCGAGGGCAGTAATCTATATTCTTCTCTGACCAACAACTCAAAAGGAGGTTTCCCATGCCTGGCAATGGGGTTTTGTTAGATGTTTATGGCTTTTGGGGGAGCATTGTCATCATAAGTGGCATAACATCTTTTAAGCTACATACATGTGTAATTTATATTTACATAATTTTAGTAAACATGAAATAATATGATTCCCTATGGCCTTTTCAAACAGCTTTAGTATTACTTATTCCTCCTCTCCCTCTGAATTGCCTTTCCTCCCTCATTCCCTAGTAAGTCCCCTCCCCCATTTTTTTCCCATTTCCCCCTTCATATCATCAATGCTTGGAAGGCAAAGGCAAATGGACCTCTTTACACAGTGGACTTGGTTTACACAGTGAGTTACAGGCCAGCCAAGGCTACATAGGAAGACTTTGGAGAGGGGGATAGGATATTGTTGTTTTGATATTGACAATGAGTAATTCATGACTCCTACATTGCTCTTCATGGCTGCCTCAGTCAGGTAGATATCAAGATTTTATATGAGTATGAGACTCCTTCTGAGGTGGCAGTTCTGTATCCTTGGTATATTTCTGTTCCGATTTCACATTGTATTACTTAGCACACATTTATAATAAATGCTGATAGCTGGTAGGGAATGAGTATTACCTGGATTATCTTTAACATTTGTCTTTGGCATTTTGAATGACAAAAACGTGTTTTTAAACATGTTTCAAAAACAGCATACTTTGTATGTTAAATACAACAATTTTGATTTTTCAATTAAAAATAAAAGGGAAAGTTACAAACATACTCATATACATATAATATATATAATGTAATTTTTCATGGGATTGCATTGGACATGGGATGGTCTGTATGTCAAGTGTGTTGCTGATTGGTCAATAAATAAATCACTGATTGGCCAGTGGCCAGGCAGGAAGTATAGGTGGGACAAGGAGGAGAATAAAGCTGGGAAGTGGAAGGCAAAGAGAGAGACACTGCCAGCCGATAATGATAAACAGCATGTGAAGATGCCCGTAAGCCACGAGCCATGTGGCAAGGTATAGATTAGAAATGGATTAATTTAAGCTGTAAGAAAAGTTAGCAAGAAGCCTGCCACGGCCATACAGTTTGTAAGCAATATAAGTCTCTGTGTTTACTTGGTCGGGTTTGAGCAGCTGTGGGACTGGCGGGTGACAAAGATTTGTCCTGACTGTGGGCAAGGCAGGAAAACTCTAGCTACATAGAAGAATTTGGGAATTTTGAGATTAGTTTGATTTTCTAGTAATCAGAGATTATCTATTTAAGTGTCAACTTACTATTCTTTCTCTTATCTTTGAGATGTTCATTGATTGCTTTATATTGACTCACTAATGAAGGCATTTCCAGGGTAAATTCTTTGTTTGAGATTAATCTAGAATTGGCATTTTTCAAAAATGTGATAACACTCATTTCAGGATATTTACCAGAAGCAGAGACCTGTGTTCTGTGTAACAGCTCTGGCTGTCCTGGAACTTGCTTTGTAGTGCTGGGATTAAAGGCATGGGTGACCACTGCCCAGCTCTGTGTAGATATTCTTACACGAAGTTTTCTGTTTAAGTATGAATGACCATTGTTTTTAGATTGTTTCCTCAGCCAGCTTACTTATATGTGCTTACAATAAATATGCCTCTAATTGCTTTATAGGTGGCAAGATGCTAATCAGTGAAAGAGCCTGCCGCTGGCCAAGAGGAATTGCTCGAAGTAGATCTGAAGGAAATTTGGTTGACATGGAAGCCTCAACACTCTCAAAAAATCATAATATTATAGGTACAAGAATTTATAATATGGTAATATTTCTGTGGAATTAAGTCAAATCATTTCCTATACATATGAAAAAAGTATATTTTTATATATACTCTAAAAAGTGCTATAGAAGATTTACAAAACTACCAAGTACAAGTGCTATCACAAATAGAATATCATTAAAGATAAATGTTTTCTTAAGAAAGTACACTAATATGGGCTAGAGAGATGCCTCGGTGGGTAAAGTGCTTTCCACTTAAGCATGAGGACAAGGCTTTATTTTGCCTGTATACATTAAAAGCCAGGCATGGGGTGTGCATCTGTAGTCCTAGTACTAGGGGATCAGAGACAGGCAGATTTGTTGGAGCTTGCTGCCCAGCAAGTGTGGCAAGTGAGCTCCGGGTTCAATGAGGGACCCTCTCTCACAAAATAAGGTGAACTGTGATAAAGGGAGACACTTAATGTCAACTTCTGACCTCCAAATAGAGATGTAATTATATGCACATTCCCTCCCACACACATGCACCACACACACACACACACACACACACACACACACACACACACATGCACCACACACACACACACATGCACCACATACACACACATACACCACACATACACATACACCAAACACACACACATGCACCACACACACATACACCACATACACACACATACACACACATGCACCACACACACATGCATGCACCACACACACATACACCACATACACACACATGCACCACACACATACACATGCACACACACACACACACATGCACCACACACACACATGCACCACACATACACATACACCACACACATGCATCACATACACACACATGCACCACATACACATACATGCACCACACACACATGCACCACACACACACATGCACACACATACAAATAAATAAAGAATACTCACAGATTACAATAAATATCATAAAGAGGCACAAATTCATTAATAAATGAATAATATGTCCTGCAAATATTGTACACTTGAATGGAGACAAGCAGAGACTGAAGCAGCCTAATAATCTTCATGAAGCAGAATCCAATTTACCTGATATCAGAGGGGAAAAAATGAGTTTTGAGAGAGTTGGGGTAGAAGGATTGAGGATGTGTGGTAATAAGAGAAATACTATTTCTGTTTTTCAAAATCCATCTTATACTTTTTAGTAAGTAGCATAACTCACTTAAAGCAAAATAAATGCTCTATGAATATCAGGGGGAAAAAGTAACAATTTTCTGAAACTCTTGTTTCCAGAAAACTTCAGATAACTCAGTTGTGCATGATGACTTTCATTGTGCCTGAGGCAGCAGTGAATACACGGAACCTTCACGTTTGTGACTAGTAGTTTCTATGAAAGAGCCAAACAGAAGCCCCTCTGAACATAAAATAACCTTGATGCTATGGGATGTGTTGAGGAATTTTTTTTGTGCTCTTCAAGCCCTTTCCAGAGACATAATAAAGTTTCTGTTTCTAGTGGCATCCCATAAAGTCCAGTGAATTCCTGCGGGCAGTAACTTCACTGTCAATCTGGTTTTTTCAATGTGTTTTTCACACACATACAAAATGTAATATTAAATTTATTAATACAATGTTACCAGAACATGAATAATTAATGATAATTTTAACTTAGAAGATTGTTTAGAAAACTATTTTAAGTATGTATGGATATGTTTGACATTCCTTAGGTATTATTTGAAAAGAAAGACATCAAATTGATCCTTTGGACATAATGAGACCAACAGCTCAATGTTTAGAAAAATCTGCATGTTGGCTGTTTTTTCAGGAGTTTAGGTAAATGAAACATAAAATAATTAGGCATAACTTTATGTAAGTATAAGTAAATGTGTTAAATACATTATTAGTGTGTTGTTATATGTAATTATCTACTATACTCAACATTCATTCACTTTATGTTTCATGATACCTTAAGATAAAATTAATGTACCTGTACTCAAAATAACTTGGTATAAAATTCCCTTTTCCTCATTATAAACAAATTGATATGATTTACTACTGAGCTTGTAGTGGACAGCAGCCTTAAAAATCAAAACCTAAAGTATATTTTGAATTTTTAAAGTATGAATAAATCAATCATGGTTGTATCTCAGACTCCCACTTTATTTATTTTTTGCTTTGTTTTTGTTTAAATATCAAGCATGCCAGAAGCTCGACCTTCCTCACAACTGGCCAGATGCTTCTGTTCACCATGGCAATAGTGCTGCAAAAGCTACAAATCCATTCTGGAATGAGCTGTCTGCCTCGAACCCATTTCTGGATGACATCACTCAGCTAAGAAATAACCAAAAGAGAGATAATATGTCCATTTTGAAGGAAGATCCTTTTCTTTTTTCAAGACAAATAGAAACAGGGAATTCTTTTGATTCCTCTGGTGATGAACTTGACATGGATCAGTTGCTTAGGCCATCTTCCTCAAGGAAGTCAGGAAGATCTAAGAGTGTTTCAGAACTCCTGGACATCTTAGATGATACAACACATACTCATCAAAGTATACATAGCTCTGACCAGATCCTAATACAAGACTTAGAATGGCTTCAAAATGACCGAGAAGCATATAAAATGGCTTGGCTAAGTCAACGTCAGCTGGCCCGCTCTTGCCTGGATCTGAATATAGTTAATCAGAGTCCTGGGTGGGCTCAAACACAAATTGCAGAGACTATTGCAGTTTGTAAATTAAACCATCACGGAGGATCAGTGCAGTTACCCGACTCAGATATCACTGTTCATGTACCCCAAGGACACGTAGCTGTAGGAGAATTCCAGGAGGTATCTCTGAGAGCATTTCTGGATCCTCCACCAAAGCTGAACCATGATCTGTCCTGCACTGTAAGCCCTCTGTTGGAAATCAGGTTAAGCAACCTGAAGACCATGGAAGCTATTTTGCTGGAGATGAAAATTGGAGCAGAAGTGAAAATAGATCCTCTGAGCCAAGTCATGACAGAAATGGTGTGTTTACACAGCCTGGACAGAGAAGGCCCTTTCCAAGCACTAAACAACTGCTATTTCTACAAAGACACAATTCAAGCAAAGTTTCTTGATCTGAGCCCTGTAATGTACATAGTCATAGCTGTGCAAGCTAAGGCCATTCAGCCGCCAGCTGCTACTATTTGGGATTATATTCATAAAACCACCTCCATTGGAATTTATGGACCCAAATATATCCATCCAAGTTTTACTGCTGTTTTCACAGTTTGTGGACACAACTATGTGCCAGGAAAGTTTACAGTCTCTGACATTAGGAAGGGTGGAAAAAACGTATCTCCGGTAGTATTTCATCTCTGGGGGAAGCATTCATTTTTACTTGACAAGCCACAAGATTTAATTATTTCAGCTTTTTCATGTGATCCTGATTTTGAAGTAAAGGTAGAGAGAGAAAGGAAAATAATTGCACAAAGGCAATTGGAAGCAGGTGCCATAGTTCATCAACAAATGTCCTTTTCTTCAGTTGACCACAGAGATATGCACTTGTTTGTTTTCAGGGTTCATGTGGGGCCTCCCAGGGGAAAACCAGTCACACAATTTTTTGTCACTTCACCTGATCCAGCCCCAAACCTAAAAAGGCTCTCACATCTTCAGAGCTATTTCCAGAAGGAGAGAGAAGGCAAGAGAGTGCCTTTGTTATCAGTGGGGCTTGTTAAGTACCCCACTTTCCAAGATAAAAAAATGAACTTCACCAATTATGGGGTCACACTGAAGACGGTTCTGAGGCAAAGTAGGATTGACTACTTACTTGATTACTTAAAGGGGGATACAATCGCCCTTCTTGGAGAAGGCACGGTAAGAGCCATTGGGCAATCCAAAGTGAAAGAATGGTATGTAGGAGTCCTCCGAGGTAAGGTCGGACTTGTGCACTGCAAAAATGTCAAAGTGATTTCCAAAGAACAAGTGATGTCTCTGTCTGATGGCAGTTTGACAACCAAGAATCTTTTGGAGCAAATTGCCTTGCCATTTAAAAATCTGACTTATATATACTCTGTTATGTTGACCCTGGTGTCAGAAAACATTCATGACTGGAAAGTTTTAGCTAATGTCCTGGGCTACTCACATCTGGCACAGGAAGATTTTGATCAAATTCAAGCAGACAAGGAACCAGAAAGGGTTTCTTACATTGTCAAGAAGTTAAAGGAAGATTGCCACGAAGACAGAAGTACCAGAAAGTTTCTTTATGAACTGATTGTGGTGAGTATTGGTTGATCGTAATAACTCATTTAGAGGGCTTGATGATATTTATAAAAAAACATGAAAACTAGTAGTCATAAATACATTGAAGTCCCTGGGAACTTTTCCTACAAGGTCATAGCATTGGATTCATGATTTGAGAGTCAATCATGATTTTCTCAGAAAATCGGTCTGCAAGAATCATCTTTTAAGAGGGTTTAAAGGTTGTATTTTTGTTGGGCCCTTTCCTTTAAATTTAAGAGATTAACTCTTCTTTTCTCAAATATTTAGATAGCCCTTCAAATATCATAGGAGCTCCATAACATGAAAGTAAAGAAGAACAAAGAAACAAAAAGATCTGTCCTTACTAGAGGCTCACTTTTTCAATATTTGTTTCCTTTAAACACATAAGTATTATCCACTATTTCATCAGTTTAATGTTCTTCGGTATATAATAATTCATGACCCAAACAATGATTCTGCTAACACTATATTTAATATTCTAATAGAATTCTCAAGGATCAACTCTTTTTAGCATGTAAAAGCCTTGTGGAGAATTATAAGTAATTGGATTTAAAACAGAAATTCAGTGTTATAGTAACAAAATATCAAGATGACATCTCTAAAGAAGATTAAAATATGAATGTAGCTAATTACCTTTGTAGCTAATACTTCCTAAATGCTAAATGCTAAAACTACCTTCAAATAGTGTGTTGGGGAGCATAAAATTGTCATTGGTTGTTTTTTACTCTTGCTCTTTTGGGGAGCCTGCCACCCAGTTCCCAAATAAAAAACATGGAGGCTTATTATTTCTTATGAATGCCTGGCCTTACCCTAGCTTGTTTCTAGCTAGCTTTTCTTAAATTATACTGTCTACCTTTTGCCTCTGGGATTTTTCCCTTTCTTACTTCTGTGTATCTTACTTTCACTCTTACTCCATGGCTGTCTGGGTGGGTGGGTGGCTGGGTGGATGGCCCCTGACATCTCCCTCTCCTTCTTTTCTTGTTCCTTGATCTCCTCTTTCCAGAATTCTTCTCTTATTTATTCTTTCTGCCTGCCAGCCCCACCTATCCTTTATCCTGCCTTGCTATTGGCTATTCAGCTCTTTATTAGACCAATCAGGTGTTTTCCACAGGCAAAGTAACACAGCTTTACAAAGTTAAATACAGCATAAAAGAATGCAACACATCTTTGCATCATTAAATGTTCCATAGCATAAACAAATGTAACACATCTTAAAATAATATTCTATAACATAAAATGTTTTTGTAAGTACATGTTAGTAAGTGTACTGAATAGCATAAGTACGAAATCAGTGCCTGTAAGAATGGAAATGATGATTGAGGCAGTGAGCAGAGACATGTTAAGAAGTAAGTTTTAATAAAGCTGGAAATGGCAAAGAAAAAATGGTGAATGAATTCAATCTGTGACATTAATAATAATTTGCATGTTTAAGAAATGATTATACAATGGCACCACGAGCAGTAAAACTTGAGAGCTGTCTAGTTGGCAAGTGGACAGTTTTATTATGAGATGCTGTGTTCCCATTGACTGTAGGCCCAGATGACTGAATACTAGAAGCTGAACTGCTCAGTATAAGCTACACATTCCTTTTGTAATAGCTTCTTTTTGTAACTCAGATGTTGTTCATCACAGACTCAAAAAACTACAAACAAAAAGTTACTTTCTTTTCTTGGTAGCTGAAAATAAGTTAGGTCTGATCATACCTGTAGTTTGGGGAGGGCATAATAAATCATAGACTATCTTGATTAGACAATGCTGATAGAGACCCAATTCAAGAGAGTAGACTTAATGGACCAAACAACTAATACTAAGCCTTAGTGGTGCCATCAGGACATCCTTCTAAAAGAGACTTGGCCATCTGTTAGCAAACTATTGACCCTTCTGTGATATAGAGTTATATCTTCAAACATCCTTTGCATTAAGTGTAAATTTTTCTTGCTCTGTGTCTTGATGGGTCAAGTTGAGAAGTAAAGAGTGAATGCTTTTGTCTACTTAATATGTGACATTTCTGAAAGCCCTGCAGTATGTGCTTTTACCTTAGTTCTAGAAGATTAGGCAGAATGGTATTGTCTCCATATCCAATATACAAAGCATTGCAATGGTATATCAAATACTTCTTATGAAATTGTACTTTGCCATTGTAAAGCCATGCCACAAAAACTCAAGTGTGCTTTGCAGGACTTCTGACTTGGGATTGCTTCTCACTGGGGCCGCCACTGTCAGAATAAAAAGAGGGGTCAATAAAACTAGTGTCTAGAGTCCATGAACTGTCCTTTTAATTGTCGATCTCATGAGGATAGACATGGTAGATTTTAATTAGTGCCTTTTTCAATTAATTTAACTTTATTTACTCTTTCATATGGGTAAATAAAACTCCTAGGTACTCTTACATAATAAAGGACTGCCAAGCATGTTTACAGACTTATTTGCATAGTTATATGTATCTATTCATATATTTTTAAAATATACTCAAAGCATAAAAGAAACTCTTATACTTGCCAGAAACAAATAGTCAAAAAGAAAGCTCAAGTGTGCAATAAATGAAGAAAGGGAGTCTGGTAGCATTCCACTTTCACATCGTAGGAGAGCATTTGCTTTATTACCTTGTGGTTTACGTTACCAGCATCAGGTTAGTGATAAGGAAGGCAGATGATTTAAATTCAGAAACATCTGTAGCTTTGTTCAAAATTAAAGGAGCAGCATGTGTTTATTCAATATACATGATTCTAGGAAAAATTTAAATCACATTTTGTTGAAATAGATCTGTGTTAATCCTCTGTTAAGGTAAGGAATAAGTTTTGAGGGGAGTGAGTAATTACCTCTAGATTCAGAGATTATCAACTGCTGGAGTCTGATAAAACAGTTGATACTGTTCCATTAGTAGTTAAAGACATTAAGACATATATTAATAAAGTGGTTTACCCATGATCCCATAGTTAGCTACTGAGGCTATACTAATGCTCCCCTAATTCTAGTATATGTGATCACTGTGATTACTTGTTCAATTTTCTTAAATATAAATCACTGTTCTGAGTTTAAAAACCTCAACTATATGTGTGGTGGCTAAAGGGATTCCAATTTTTAGAAAACATAATGAAAATTGTAGTTTAAAGGAAAAAGTCAATGAGTTGTATTTGAGTATGATGTATACTTGCTGCCACAGGCTCTGCTAAAGATGGATTGCCAAGCGTTAGTGGCACGTCTTATCCAAGAGGCTGTTATACTGACCTCAGCTGTTAAGCTTGGAAGAAGCTGGAGGGAACTTGCTGAGAAGTCGGCAGGACTCACTAAGCATCAGATGCAGGCGTATGAAATTCCCTACCGAGGAAAATCTGGAGATGTTTCAGCCGAGGTGAGACTTTCATATGTTCCATTCAGCAGTGACAAACTGTACCCAAGTAGAGAAAATATAATTTAGTCTTCTCCATATTCATGAATTAGTTAGAGGAACACTCGGGGAGATCTACTAAAAGTTACTATCTGGGTAATCCTGTTGGAAATATTTGAAGTATATGTACTGTACTTGTAAAAAACACATTTATATTTCTCTTATTAGATTTCATATTAAAACATGGCTTTTGATCAAATTAATTCATTAAATTGGGACAGTGATGATGCAAGGCTACAAGAATTTAAGGCATAGAGCAGGTATATTTTGGAGTCAAGCAATAGTATCAATCAAGTCAACTCACAGAAGATATACTTAATCATATGTGACAAGTGATAAGTGCTTGTTAATGACTACTAGGAGGGTGAATGATGTTGGGCCACTGGAAATGACTGACAGAGATATCAAAGAGCCATTTCATCTCTTTTGAAATTTTGTGTACAGTAAGAACTACAAATATCATACACAGAATGAAAGCATTTAATACAAAGATATTTGTCACAAAATCTGATTGTGTAAGCAGTATTGTTACATGGATTCTACTATGCATGTAGCATATACATATTTCTTCAAGCTGTCATGAAAGAAATGTGATCCAATTTTTCTCAAATTAAATAAAAATATTTTCCAACGATGAGTATATGTTAGGTGCCCTGCATCTTTAAGCAAGTTAAAACTTTTTCAAGGTATTTAAGTTAAGGCCAATATCCTCTATTTTGAGATGTATAAGCACAATCTACAAGTTCTGTGTCATTTTGGGTCATAGAGATGGATATATATATATTTATTTTTTCAAGACAGGGTTTCTCTGTGTAACAGCCCTAGCTGTCCTGGAACTCCTAGAGATTCGACTGCCTTGCCTCTCAAGTGCTGGGATTGAAGGCCTTTGCCACAACACCTGGCTGTGAGATGAGTTGCTACATGGTCTTATTAATAAAAAACCTGGAGCCAGATATTAGGGTAAAAACTGAGAGATCAGGGAAGCAAAAAGAAGCCAGCTATATTCTTACCACTAGAAATCCTCAGCCAAGAGAGAGTTACTTCCTGTATATCTACACCTATATGCCTTTCTGTCCCTGCCCTCTTCATCTCTCTGCCCATCTACATCACTTCCTGTCTGTCTGTACAGACATCCAGACCTCCATGGTTAGTGCTGGGATTAAAGGCATGTGCCACCATGCCTGGGTCTGTTCCTAGTGTGGCCTTGAATTCACAGAGATCTGAATGAATCTCTGCCTCCCGAATGCTAGCATTAAAGGCGTGTGCTACCATTGCCTGACTTCTATGTTTAATATATTGGCTGGCTTTTTCCTTGGATCTTCAGATTAGCTTTATTGGGGTACACAAATAAAATATCACCACACCTGGCCATAGAGATGGATATTTACTTTTGAGATTCCTCTTCTTACCATAAGCAACAATTAATTCTGTTGGGTGACCAGGTTACAAGAGTTCAGTCAGTCAAGTAATTTGACTCCTTCCAGCTGCAGCAGGTGTCAGCTGGACAGCTGCTGAATTCCTGAAACCCAGCTCACAAGTGAGGACTTCTAAACAAAATCTACCCAGGGACAGCTATGAACTGGACACATATGTCCCACTTGTTGGCTACACTTATCTCCATAAACCTAGAAGGGAATTGAAGCCTATCAGTGAGCAGACTCTTAGCATGAACATAACACACGAGATGGACACAAGTTTTCTCTGAGTGAGTTAAAAAATCAGCAACCTTGAGGAAGAAAAGAGTATGTGAGAATTGTGCTGTTGTGGTCCTGACATTTCAGTTAACTAATTAAAAAGCTGTCTAATTGAAAGCTCCTCTTCTTTTGTCTATGATAGGGCCTTGCTTTTAAGGGTTTTGTTTAGACTTACTGGAGAGCTGCTTGTCCTGCCAGCCTTCCTAAGCATCTGGATTCTCTCTAATTGTGTTTATTGTTTGTCTCCTCTTAAATCTTGATGCAGGCTAACACACAGCCTATTTTTCCATTATTTACTTTCACACAGCCCAAATCCTAAGTGACTAAGTCTGTGTCTGAGGCTGATAAAATCTCAGAAGCATAAAGGAAAGCCCCTAAATGTTTTCTGAAGCCAACAGTTCAAGTCATTGCAACGAATACTAACAGCCAGTACCTGACCTATGTTATCACTTAGAAAAACTCAAAGGCATTTTAGCCTGAAGCCATTCCAAATGTCCTATAACAAATTTTACCTGTTTGACCACTTAAAGGGACAATGTATGCTAATTTCCGCAATCTAAAGTGTTATTGTAGAGTTTTTTTTTCTCCTTGAGAAAGATGGATCTTAAACATGATGGATTTGACAAGACTGGTAGTTGAATGGCTCTAAGTGAGGGTGCAGTGGTCAGGAACTGGCTTTGGGGTGAGGAAACACCAACTTAGTGTTCTTTTGCTGTGCTGTCTTTGTTTCTGTCATGTCATTTACTCTGACATATGATCTATGGGCCTGTGCCCCTGGTACATTTTTTTCTTCTGAGACACAAAAAACCTGGGAATCTCTGCAGGTTCCCTCAGGACCCAGCTTGACAACTATGGCATTATGTTGCTTCCAAAATATGCCTGATCATCTTCATCAAGCCTCAGGATGGTTGAAGAATGGGGATACTGAATGCAAAGGAAAGGTCTTTGGAGAGTTTGGAGAACGTCACTTTTTAAAATAAGCACCTCCTCAATTTATATTTTGTTACTACAACTACTTACTACATTAAAGCAAAACTATAATGTTTAGAACCAATCATATGCATATAAGCAAAACACATTTTAAAAATCATTTTTGTAAGTTTTTAAAAGATTTGTTTATTTTTATTTTATATATATGGATGTTTTGCCTTTATAAATGTCTATGTACCACATGCATGTTTGGTGCCTGTGGAGGCCAGATTTGGTATCAGATTCCCTGGAACTCGAGTTACAAACAGTTATCAACTTCCATTTTGGTGCTGGGAATTGAAACTGGGTTCTCTGTAAGAGAAGTCAATGATCTTAACTGCTGAGCTGTCTCTCCAGCCCATGAAAACACATTTTAAGGAAAATGTTTCTTTCAGAAAATATGTTTATACTGTGAAGCCAATACCGACTCCATCTTAGGGAAGGGCCACCATCTTAAACCACCCGCTGTGCTCAGTTCCAGGAAGGACCTCCGGAATGTGCCATGACAACTTGAACAGATACAGGGCAGTATGTATGCTCCTGCAGACATTCTGTCTGCAGTTTATGGCCCTTGAAGATATCTAGATAATCCTGCTGAGCAGCCCAGATAATTCTGCCCAGCAAGTTGTGGTTCCCCACCAAAAAGTCCAACCCCAATAGTTTAAAAAAAATCACCTTTCCCCATATCCCTTCTACCCAGTCCCAAGTTGCCAAAGTATGTAATTCCTGGCTTGTGGTTTTTCCCTATAAAAACTCTCTACCCCTGGGCCCACTGCCATTGCTGCATTTCCTTCCATCTGCCGTGCCGTGGCCCAGGTTCGAAACCCGACAATAAAAGGACCTTTATGTGCTTGCATCAGAAACTGAAGACACAATGAAGCTGAGACTTTTTAATCACCATGTGTTTTTCATCTTTGACACTATTCAAATGTAGAGCAGTACAGTCAGCCCGCTGTATTGTAATTCTCTTTGCAGTTACCCCTTAGTGCAAGTCTAATTCTCTTTTGTATCCTCTAGAAGCAGTCTTTGTTTTCCCTTCTTTTCTGACTTACATCTGGAATGCTCAAAGCATTTTATCCTACATGTAGATTAAAAATGAGAATGTAGAACTGTTGTGATTTCTTGTTAGATGAAGTACTTATTATGCAAACATAAGGACCCCGGTTGGGTTTCCAGAGCCTATTTTTAAAAGTCAAGCATGCAGGTGGAGATAGGAAGACCTAGTTGGTATGTTCAGCCAATGAGAGACACTTTCTCAAAAAGCCAGATTACAGGATTGGAGATATGGCTCAATGTGTTCAGAGTGCTTGCTGTACAACTGTGAGACTCTGAGCTCAGAAATCAGCACTCACATAAAAAGCTGAATATGGCCAGGTAGCTTAGTCTGCCTGTAAACTCAGAACTGTGAGATGCAAAGAAAGAAGAATCACTGGGGCTTGCTACCTGGCAATCAAGCTTCAAGTTGGGTGAGATATTTTGTCTTAAGGGAATAAGTAAAAAAGTGTGCATGAGCTTATACCCTCTCCCTCCATGTGACTGTAAGCCAAACACACACACACACACACACACACACACACACACACACAGGAGAGAGAGAGACATACACACAGACACACACACACACACATACACAGAGATACAGAAAGACACAGACACAGACACATACTCACACACACACACACACACACACACACACACACAAAACAACAACAGCAAAACAGGTGGATAGCCAGGTTTGTTTTCTGGCCTTCAAATATACATTGATTCTATGTACATACACAAACACAACACTGGGTGGGAGAGTTGGTGATTTTCAAATAGCTAATTCTATCAGTTTTTTTTATAAGTGAATGAAAGGTTTTATATAGAATCCATCCCTGTTTGGTATCATTCCCAATTGTCTTTTCTTTCAGTGTTTTATTCATCTACATACTTAATAGGCTTTCTGAGCCTATCAGTTCTTACTTAGCATTGGCTCACAAACTTCAAAGCACACAAAAGTAAAATAAGACTTTTTTCTTTTAAAATCTAATATTTACATTAGTTCAAAATTAGGATACACTTAATTTTTAAATAAAAATATTTTGAAGACGCTCCACTACTGAGCTACATCTTCCATCCAGAAGCACATGATGACATAAAAATGAAAATAGCTGTGTGTCAGTCATTATGAGAATCTTCTTCACACATCTCATTAATTTCAACAAACAGAAAGCAAGGCATTAGAATCATCCTCTTTCTTACACACAGGTACCCTGAGTATTAACACATTTATATAATAACCAGAGTGCAATGGTGAGT